AAGGAACATCCTTCAGTGACCTTGCTCTGCCTCTGGAAGCCAGTAGGAGAGCCAGCACACAACGCAACTGTCTGAGCATGGATAAACACCAAGGTGATTGTATAGCATCCAAGCATTCCTCATCTAGGAGATGGGAGTCGGGCTCTGCACCTGAAATTTCATTCATTTTTTTTTTTTTTCCTTCTCTTTTGGAGAAGGTTGAAGGAGATTCTTCACAAGAAACATATTCTCACACTGAAGAGTGTAGAGGGGTTGACATTTTTTAGATGAGGCTAAGGGTTATGCAGGTTGTTTTCTGTTGTGCTGTTTTTGTGTTTTTGTTTGTTTTTTGTCTGTTTTTGGTCTGACTCTGCAGAACTACAAACTGGCTGATTCCAAATTGCTGTTCTTTTTACCACACCTTGCTGTGTCTGCGTGGTTCTGCTGATGATGCATTCACTGACTATTCCTTATACTTATTTCTGATCTCCGGGCTAATGTAAGAATGAATCAGCCTGACAAATGTTAATCCCCAATGCCAGGTTCTTAAAAGAACCTCACACCTTTTTGGCACCCCCAGGAAGCCCTGAAATACAGCTGAGGACCAGAGTAGCATTCATGGGTATCTTGGGAGCAACCACATTTACCTCATAAAAACCGTGAAGATGCAAAGATTTGGCAAGGCACCCCCAGAAGTAGCTTTGGCTGAACAATGTTTCCAGGTAAGAGAAAGAAAGCAATCATAAAAGAAAGCGATTTGCCTGAGAGCAAAGCATCTTTCAGGTAACACACAGTCTCAGAAACACTCTTTCCTCCACACGAAGCCCTGTGGGCCTGGGAGTGGCCTGTGCTGTAGCAACACAGAACACTGCAGCTGAGAGGCTGGGAACATGAATTCAGCCTAGACACAGGGGCTGAGCCTCAGCGCGGCCGTGTCCTAACTACGAGATCTGAGAGGAACTAGGTTGTCTTTCAGCCTCTGCTTCATCATCTCTAAGATGGGAGAGTGTTGGTGCCAGTGACCCAGGACTGCTGTGACAATTAAATAAGATGGCATATGTAAGGAGCTGACTTCCCAGGTGGCTCAGGGGTAAAGAATCTGCCTGCCAATGCAGGAGACTCGGGAGACTCAAGTTCAATTCCTGGGTCAGGAAGATTGCCTGGAGAAGGGAATAGCAACCCACTCCAGTATTCTTGCCTGGAGAATTCCATGCACAGAGCAGCCCATCGGACTACAGTCCATGGGGTTGCAAACAGTCGGACATGACTTAGGGACTGAACCACCACCGTGTAAGGAGAACATACACAATAAGCACCCATGCAAGATGTAACATACACAATAAGCACTCAATAGTAGTAGATGTTCTTAGTGTCCAGAGTGCTCTTTGCCAGATTCTCCTTTCTTCTAAGGGAGAATCCTTCCTTCTAAGGGAGAATCTCTTCTTCTCAGGGAGAGTCTAAGCACCCACTGATCCCTCTGAAATGCTCTCCACTCAGGACTCTGCTCCAAGCTCAGCTCATCCCCAGACCTTCCCAGCCACCCCACCCAGGGATGCTTGTGTCCTCCCAGCTTGCTTTATGCTTTTCCTGGTGTGGATCACTATCAGATGCTAAATTATATAGTCATGTGTTTTATTTGGTGATGGTCTATTGCCTTCCCCAAGAACGTTAGCACCATGATGACAGCAGCTGTGTCGGGTTCACTCTTGGACTTTTGGTGGCTAGACCAGTGTCTGTGTGTGGGAGGTGTGGTGGGGGGAGGTACCAAATCAATGCTTCCTAAAGACATGTGAGTACAAGCCATCTCTTCTGAGTAGATTCCGATTCCATACAGTGACACAGCCTAAAAGTAGATGTCGGGCACAGGAGCGCTTGTGTATCTGGGACAATACTTGGGTTTCAGAGTGACAACAGAGTGCCCGAAAGGTGCTGGGCTGTGCTCTGGGGAGCCCTACAGCCCCCAAACGCACAGGGGATCTGAGCCCCTGCCTGGCTGGAAAGTTATAGCCTGAAGGAACTCCCGGAAGCTCTCCCGCCTCCCCCCTCCCCACAGCCCACCTCCTCTCTCCCTCCAGGTATCATTACTTCTTCCAGGACCAAAAGCATATCTTAAAAGTAACCCCTGGCAATGGGTGGTTTACTGCTTTTAAACTCAGGAATGATTTTTTAACTGTGGCACACAGGTCTTGATTTTCAATAAGTAAAAGCAAAAGTGAGTTTTGCTCTTGGCTCTGCCTGGCTGCTACTGATTTTGCAGTAACCTGTGTTGGTCACATCCTGGCCTCTGGGAGGGAGGTGGGAAGGGCTGCCTGTTCCTGCTGTTTCTCCAGGGAGAGGCCAGAGGGAGCATTCAGCATCCTGGCCCCACCTCGCCCAGCCTCCAAGGCTTCACACACCCCATAAAGACCAGATAGAGGGTGAACTGAATACAATAATGTGCCTCGGAGACTTCCTGGAGGTTGACTTAGAGGTGCCTCTAATGGCATGGGTTTTTTCCATAGGACCAAGTGCTTGTAAACTCCAAGCACTTTCAGAGGTTGTAATAAGCAGATGTGTGCCTTCCCCAAGCCTGCATAGAGCAGAGAAATCAAGCAAGAGGAAAAAATTAATTAAATAAGGTAACTAATAGCAAAAAGGAGAACTTTAGCGTGACCTAGCAACTCTTGCTAGAATTTAGTTAATTTAGATAATTCATGTTCAAATTTCGTTTCATGCTTGGTAGTGAGATTGGCAAGGTAAGGAAGAAACCACCTTGGTCCTTGGCTGTGAACTATTGTCCATGCTGTAGGCAGCATTTCCATGGTAATACACCTGTGATGCAGTATCACTGTGACAGTAACTCTACTGCACGAGGCCCATGGATTGATGCAGTCATGAAAGGCTATGATATCCTGAGGGATCTGGGAGCAGGGAGAACCCAAACTGTCCTGATGTTGTGGTCTAGAAGTGTGCTGGGAATGTGTTTCTCCTTAGTCATGTCACATCAAATCACAAGTCTATGGCTCTCTGGACAAACCTAGCTGGATTTCCTGAGCAGTGTTCAGGTTCTCTGGCCAGGGATGGGTTGTTTCTTTCTTTCTTTTTTTTTTTAGATTTTATTTATTTATTTAGTTTTGGTTGTGTTGGGTGCTGCCTGAGGACTTTCTCTAGTTGCATCTAGTGGGGGCCCCTTTTCATCACAGTGTGTGAGCTTCTTGTTGCTGTGACTCCTCGTGTTACATGGTATGGGCTCTAGGCCCAGGCGTCAGTAGTGGTAACACACCACTCAGTTGTTCATAGGCTCTGGAGCACAGGCTCAGTAGTTGTGGTGCTCAGACTTAGTTGCTCTGTAGCACGTGGAATCTTCCTGGACAAGGGTTCGAACCTGAGTCTCTTCCACTGGCAAGTGGATTCTTTCCTATTATACCACCAGGGAACTCCTTTTGATTGATTGATTTTCTCCCTGGCTTGGAGTGTCTCTTAGATACACACAGCTCTTATTGAAGAGAACATCTGTTTGGGATTCCCTAGGCAAGGTTGTGCCAGAGAAGGAGTGGCCTCCTTCCAGGCAAGGATGCTCTCTCATGGACATCACCGTTCCCATTGTGGAAGATCAGGATGCTGACAATCTGATGTCCTAACCACTTCCTGGGAGGCTGGAGGACTCGACCCACACCCTACATGCTAGTCCCCACCAGACAGGGCAGGCGGATAGCCTGTGACCATCAGGACTGAAGCCTGGCAAACAGATCTAAGAGTCTATAAAAAAAAAGTTCCATGTTGTGAATTTCATCCCCAAAACAACTCCAGGGGGTGGGGAGCTCTCCTGCCCTTTCCTCTCCCCTCCAGCATCTACTCTATGTCCCCACAAAACCCAGTCTTTTATTCTAACACGGCACCTGTAACATTTTGTACTGGTTCCCTCCCCATGTTTGAAAGCGCAGTGAGGACCCATGAGGGAGCCTGAGCTTGGCGCAAGGCCTGGAACATAGCAGATATAAGTGTTTGCTCACTTATTTGTCTGAGGACATTTCTGCCTGGCAGGGACTGCATCTATGCACGGTCGCAGCCTCTTCCTTACATTCAAATGCAGAGGAAAGCATGATGAATCTGAGCACGAAATGGGGCCAGGTGTGTAAAGAAACCCAACGAGACAGTTTGGGTCAGGAATGCTTACTCAAATGTGCTGGCCTGAAACCAAGGGCAAGGATTGCCCCAGTAGGTGGATTCAGACTGTTCCCGCCTCCCCTGCAGGGTCTGCCCTGGACTCCCAGGAGATAGAAACTTAGCCCCAGGTCTCAGCTGATTGACAACAAGGTCACCTTTGATAGTGACTGAATGTCTCTGAGGACCCAAATCATATTCACCCTCTGGTGAGCATCATGTTGTGAAAATCAACAATACGTCCTTGTGATGCAGACGTCTGGCATCCTGGGGGTTGTGTGATTGAGGCGTGTGAGCTGATGTTGGCAAAGAAAGGATGAACCCACTTGGTTGGATTGGAGTCCGATGGGAGCTTGTTGGGCCCTGTGTCTGAACTGAGAGAAGAGGATGGGAAAGCTTGTCCTGAGAAGCCAGCTTGAAGGCTCACTGCTCGGAGAGCACAGGCCGCTTCCAGATCTATAAGGGGATCCAGAGGCCAACCTCCGCAGCTCTGAGGTGACGTTTGGGCCTTCCTCCCTGTGGAGCTGCCCACCTGTGAACAGAGGGCATGTTTCGAGGGAATCCCATGCACATGGACAGCCAGGCCCAGGCATCCCTGGAGAGGCTTGGTGGTGCACAGAGCCTGAGGAACCCCTTCCTGGCAGCTTGTCAGCTGCACCCACTTTTCCTGGGACTCCGGCAACGTGGATGCTTTTTTAAAGAGTGGGTTCATCCCATTGCAAACAGAATGGCCTTCAGCCTCCAGGGCCCTGGACGTGCCCCAGAATCCCCCATGCCCAGGGTCCAGGCTGCCTTGTCCACCCAGATGGCACCCTCCCTCACCGCCTGGCCAGAGGTTCCCTGCACGGGCTGCCCAGGGCCGCTGCGCTGTCTCCCCGATGAAGGCGCGGAAGATGGATGGATCGCCGCAGGCCACTTGCTGTGTGGGAAGACGAAGCCCAGGCCTCCGCTCAGGGCCGGAGCTCCGGGTGCCCCGTGAGAAAGCCGGCGGGGCCTCAGGGGAGGTGATGGGCCGGGTGCTGCCTGCCAGCCAGGGAGCACAGGACGTTCCTTCGCGGGACAGCGCGTCCCTCTGGGTGGGCAGCCTCTCCGCGACGGGGCCTCTGCCATGCGGAGGCCGCACGCCATCAGTGTTCCCTCAGGTGCCGTCTGCGAGGAGAGGAGGCTGCTGCCTTTGTCCCCTCGCCCTCCCCTGCCCTCCGCCCCGCCGCCCCCACCTGCAGCCCTGATGCTCTCCCCTGCTGCCTTTGAGAAGTCTCTCTCCAGACGGGCGGGGAGGAGAAGGGCATGTTTTAACGCAGACGTGAGCCTTTGGGGGCATTTATTAAAGTCATCCGGTCAAACTTCCATCAAGCGTTACGGCTCTCTGTCCCTCGGAAAGGAAGGAACACATCTGTGGGGTGGACACAGAACTGCTCAGAGAAGACTAGGCAGGCAGCCTGCTGCTGCAGCACCGTCAATTTCTTCATCATCATCATCCAAAAATATCTGAGTGCCTGTGACATCCAAGTAGGAGAGAGGATTGGGTGGGGGTGGTGGAACTTGAAGGGAGGAGTCCTGAAGGCAGGGGGCCTGGATTCCAGTCTCTCTTCTGGCTCTGTGCCTCTGAGCGAGGCCTGTGTTAGTCACTCGGTCGTGTCCAACATTCTGCCACCCCATGGAATGGGGCCTGCCAGGCTCCTCTGTCCATGGAATTCTCCAGGCAATACTGGAGTGGGTTGCCATTTCCTTCTCCAGGGGATCTTCCTGACCCAGGGATCGAACCCAGGTCTCCTGCCTTGCAGGCAGTTTCTTTATTGTCTGAGCCGCTGGGGAATTCCTGTTGTAGGCAAAGCCCTTGACCTCCAAAGTTCCCCAGCCCACACCCATGGCAGACACGGCTAATCATCTCTCTCCCCCACAGCCTTAGAACGTGGACTCTTTAACACAGAGCTCCTGATGGCCAATGCCCACTGAAGTGAAGGGCATTCAGGATGAAACCTTCTTGCCAACACTGCCCTGGAAATGTATAACCTGGAATTGGAATTCTGTACCAAGAACAGGCCAGGACACACAAACACACACAAAAAACAACCAACCAAACAACAACAACAAAACAGAAAGAGGGAGAAAGAAAAGGAAAGAAAAAGCTTAAAAATCAAGAAATCAATTCATCTGAACAATCTGGATGGTCCAAATGAATGATACTTAGTTATTAGGCAAAGATATCCACACTGAATCATTTTATTTGAACAGATCCAGAGTCAGAGAGGTACTGGAACACGCCCCAGAGCAGACATGCTCTTTCCTTCCGTATATGGCGTTCTGGAAGGGAAGGAACTTTAACGCAGCCTCTTCACAGGTGAGGGAATAAAGGCCTCAGGGACGGTGACTCCTCTGCCCTGAGCTTGGCAGAGGCCACGTCAGGAAAGAACCCAGGCTTTCTGGTTCCCAGCCCAGCGCCCCCTCCACCCACTGTCTTGCTTGGCATGAAAAAACTCCAGAATAGCAGCAAAAGAACACAGCTATTTAAGGTACGGGCAATTCATAGTTTTCGATAGTGTTTGTCGTAAAAAATTAACGACTCAATGGCCCCTCACTGATACCATAGAAAACAAAGTCCCAAACACTGGGGGTTAGTTGAACAGAGGGTCAAAATGCCTTCACTCTGGGGTACTCCACTTCTTCCTCTTTGGATATGTGGGGAGACTCACCTACCTGTTTTTTTTACCTCGGTTTTGTTGCCTGTACAATGGACATCAATACTGCTGCATATATGTACTTGCCTCGCCAGGATATAGAAACAGAAAGCAAACGACATGGAACTTCTGGCTCCAGGAAAACAGCAGTCACCATGAGGGGGTGATGAGCCAGCAGGCAGTGTCTGTCATTCCAGGATTAGTAGCAGCATGGACAAATGTGTGGGATAGACCCACTGCAGCCCAAGGATGACCTGTATACTTCAAAGCAGGACCAGACAGGCTTCAGAATATAAATAAAATAACATAGTCTTTATTTAGAAAGAAAGAAAGAGTCTTTATTTAGATGGGAATGTCAGGAAAAAAAGGGATTTTCCAGGTGACTCAGTGGTAAAAAATTCACCTGCCAATGCAGGAGATGTGGGTTCAATCCCTGGGTTGGGAAGATTCCCTAGAGTAGGATATGGCAACTCACTGCAGTATTCTAGCCTGGGAAATCCTATGGACAGAGGAGCTTGGCAGGCTACAGTCCATGGGGTCACAAAAAGTCAGACACAACTGAGTACACACGTCAGGAAAAAAATAAACCCAGAGGGATCTTCCAATGATGAAGGATTGGTCTAGGTTGGCAGGCGACCCAAGGGGTCCTTCCCTCCTCTTTCTGAGTCAGATGTCTGGCCGGAGGCCCTGACTGCAGTGTAAGGCCCAGGATGGAAGCTCTGTGTGTATGCTTAATAGGTTTTAACTGTGGAGCAGCTGAAAGAATTAAGGACCAGTGTGTAACAAGAGCAGCGCTCAGGCAGTAACCCAGACACATCTCCCCACTGCAAGTGCCAGGGCACCTCGGTGTTCCTGACATCAAGAGCCTGGCTCTGGAACCACATGCCCTCCACACCAAGGCCTTTGCCATAGGAAGTGTCTGTGTGTTCACACAAAAAAAATCTTTCTAAGGCGTTAATTAAACATGTATTTCTCCCAGGTCTGGCAGTTTGCTGTACTTCTGCAAAGGAATTGATGAACTGGCTTTGTTCTCTTACTTCAATGGAGACCATGCTGCAAATTGGCCACTAGGTGGGGCCAGAGCTCTACCAGTGAGACCACAGTTGGCCTATGGCCATTTTAGGGAAATTCTTTTTTTTTTTTTTCCATTTATTTTTATTAGTTGGAGGCTAATTACTTTACATCATTGAGGGAAATTCTTGAGATGAATTTGAAGCATCCTAAAATTTCAAACCAACATTGGATCTTAGAGATCATCTAGTTCAACCCTATCATTCTGAGGCCAGATTTGTGGAGCTCAGAGAGATGAAAGATCTCTCCTCGTATAAACAACTAGTTAGTGCAAAGCTGGACTTAGAAACCAGGTCTCCTCCCTCTAGGTTAGGCTGATTCAGTCAAGCCACCATATTTGCTTTCTCTTCTTAATGTGTATTTTGGATTTTCGGCCACGACTAAAGCTGAAGTGGCTTTGGTGTTGAGAATGAAGCATAGGAAGGGACAAGAAGGGACTGGAGTTGTTAGGTCTCCTCCAGCAGTGTGGACTGGCCTCTGACCTGACCCAAGTGCTTGGGTCACAAGGTACAGAGAATTCAACTTTGGTCCTGCCCAGCCAAGCTCAGTCTCTGCAGCTGCTGTTCTTCCCTGGGCTGTAATCAGATCATGAGGCTCAAAGGCAGTTGGGACCCAGCCTGAAGACAGCAATACTAGGTCCATTCTGCTCCCCACTTTCCAAACCCAAGATACTATCCTAAGACTTTGGTTTTGTCTTACTAGGGTAATATGGCAAAGGGAGGGTAAACTCTGCCATTAAAATTCCATCCAAAGACCATGGGGACCCAGAAAGTGAACCTGATATGTTTTTATTTTTCTGTGTTCTTTATTCTTTTGCATATGTTCCAGAAAGGAACTAAAGTACAGCTGAATAGTAGGAATATTTCACAGAAACCTAGAAATATTTGATGGTGATGATGATTCATTCAACAGAGTCTATCCAAAAATATTTATTAGATGCCAAGTCTGTTTTTACATATGTCTACTTTATTTGATACTCCATCAACCAGAAATCACATTTCTACACATAGATACACCAGTACATCTTCACTTTTTCTGCCAAGTATCAATTCATATTTGTAACAAGAAAGGCATTTATATACTACTGGAGTGCTTCAGCGTGCAAGATCTGTTCTGGTTTGAACTTTTCAGCCTTCTGTCCTGTGTAACATTGGGCATTCATGTAACCTCACCAATTCTTATACTTCTCATCTCTAAAACTGGACTCAAGCTTTGATTCAAAAATTATCTTACAATGATAGGTAATGCCACCTTGTATCCAGATCTTGTTCTCTAAATACTGTTCTGCATCAAAACAAACCAGGGCTCCTTTGGAAAAGTGGCTGACTATAGGACTGAGAGGGAAGTTCAGTTCAGTTCAGTCACTCAGTCACGTCCAACTCTTTGCATGGACTGCAGCACGTCAGGCCTCCCTGTCTGTCACCAATTCCTGGAGTTTACTTAAACTCATGTCCATAGAGTCGGTGATGCCATCCAACCATCTCATCCTCTGTCATCCCCTTCTCCTCCCGCCTTCAATCTTTCTCAGCATCAGGGTCTTTTCAAATTAGTCAGTTCTTCCCATCAGGTAGCCAAAGTATTGGAGTTTCAGCTTCAACATCAGTCCTTCAAATGAATATTCAGGACTGATCTCCTTTAGGATGGACAGGTTGGATCTCCTTGCAGTCCAAGGGACTCTCAAGAGTCTTCTCCAACACCACAGTTCAAAAGCATCAATTCTTCAGCACTCAGCTTTCTTTATAGTCCAACTCTCACATCCATTCATGACTACTGCAAAAACCATAGCCTTGACTAGATGGACCTTTGTTGACAAAGTAATGTCTCTGCTTTTTAATATGCTGTCTAGGTTGGTAATAACTTTTCTTCCAAGGAGCAAGCATCTTTTAATTTCATGGCTGCAGTCACCATCTGCAGTGATTTTGGAGCCCAAGAAAATAAAGTCTCTCACTGTTTCCATTGTTTCCCCATCTATTTGCCATGAAGTGATGGGACGAGATGCCATGATCTTAGTTTTCTGAATGTTGAGTTTTAAGCCAACTTTTCATCAAGAGGCTCTTTAGTTCTTCTTTGCTTTCTGCCATAAGGGTGGTGTAATCTGCATGTCTGAGTTTATTGATATTTCTCCCAGCAATCTTGATTCTAGCTTGTGCTTCACCAGCCTGGCATTTCTCATGATGTACTCTGCATATAAGTTAAATAATCAGGGTGTCAATATACAGCCTTGACATACTCTTTTTCCTATTTGGAACCAGTTTGTTGTTCCATGTCCAGTTCTAACTGTTGCTTCCTGACATGCATACAGATTTCTCAGGAGGCAGGTCAGGTGGTCTGGTATTCCCTTCTCTTTCAGAATTTTCCACAGTTTATTGTGATCCACACAGTCAAAGAGTTTGGTGTAGTCAATAAAAGCAGAAGTAGATGTTTTCCTGCAACACTCTTGCTTTTTCGATGATCCAGCAGATGTTGGCAATTTGATCTCT